TACCTCCAATAATGACTACTAAACAGTTATATAGAGAGAAATGAGTAAATTCATATTTTAAAGGCACTTTAGTTTCTTCTGTTGGTTATATCACCAGCTTCATAAATAGTTGGATTAATTTGATTAATTTTGCTTTTAAATTTTAGACATTGAGATTTAATTTTAGCCTGTTTTATAGTTGTGTAAAATATAATTACATGTTTTCAAAAGTGCAGTCTGATAAAACATGATATTTTTCAACTAGCTTCTATCCCTGCTGTTTCCCTGATTTATATTATAATTAAAAAAAAACTATTATGTGTATACATTTGTATGTCTCTCTTAGGTGAATACTAACATACATTCCATTCCACCTTGCTTTTTCATCCATATGTGCAGGGGATGCTACATAGCAATATATATACAGATATTTCTCATTACTTTTTAAACTGATAAATATTCTGCTGTTTAATAGCTATAATTTTCCACCAAATTTCTCTCTAGATGAGTTTGGGTTCTTTCCAGTATTTTGCTATTACAACTTTTAATGTCTTTTCATATTTTTGCCAATATTAGTTTAGGAGATACATATATATATATATATATATATATATATATATATATACACACATATATATACACACACATACACACACACACACACATATATAAATAAATAATTTTTATGGACTTTTGTTTTTGAGAGAGGAAGGGAGAGAAAGGAAAACATCCATGTGGGAGAGAAATATTGATTGGTTTCTTCTTGGGGATCGAACCCGCAATGTGGGTATGAGCCCTGACCAGGAATTGAACCCACCACCTTTTGTACCTTTTGGTGTACAAGACAATGCTACAACCAACTGAGCCACATTGGCCAGGGTTGGGATATATTTTAATATTAGCATTTTCAACATATTTTATGAAAAATTTAAAGCACAGCAAAGTTTAAAGAATTTTACAATAAACACATATACCCACCGGCTAAATTGATATATAATTTATTTGTTGTGAAATGTACAAAAATAGGTACATTCATTGTTTTGATAAATGGCATACGTGTCAGGTGTAAAATGTTACCATCACCTGGAAGTTCCCTCATGCGTCTTCAAAGGCATCCACTGCTTTGATGTTCTTTCCACCGTCAGCTTGGCATTTAAGTCACTTTGCAATTGTGTCTATTTTGTTTCCTCTGTGGTTAGGTTTCTCTCCTGATTTTGCTGAGCTTTTTTATATTATTAACCTATAATCTAGCACAGGGGTGGGCAAACTTTTTGACTCGAGGGCCACAATGGGTTCTTAAACTGGACCGGAGGGCTGGAACAAAAGCATGGATGGAGTGTTTGTGTGAACTAATATAAATTCAAAGTAAACATCACTACATAAAAGGGTACGGTCTTTTTTTTCAATAGTTTTATTCATTTCAAATGGGCCGGATCTGGCCCGCAAGCCGTAGTTTGCCCACGGCTGATCTGGAACCTGAAATTACATTAGCTTTTCAAGGACAGTATTACAGATTTGTTCCCCTTCCTACTCCTCATTAATGATTTTTTTCTTTTAAGCCTTATACAATTCCTACACTATACACTTCCTTCATTTAAACTATACAATTCAGTGCTTTCTGGTATATTACATTAAGTGTTAAAAATTGTGGTACAATATATATAATAAAAATTGCCACTTTAACCATTTTCAAGTATACAGTTTAGTGGTATTAATTACATTCATACTGTGTGTAACCATCTTTGCCATCCATCTTCAGAACTTTCTTATCATTGTAAACAAACTGTGCCCATGAAATAATAACTCCCATTCCCCTCCCCTCAGTCCCTGATAACCCCCATTCCACTTTGTCTCTATGAATTTACCTATTTTAGGTACCTCACATAGTGGAATATATTTGTCCTTTTGTGTCTGACTTATTTCACTTAGCATAATGTTTTCAGGTTCATCCACGTCGTAGGATATATTAATACTTCATTTCTTCTTTATTATCTCTTTTGGTGGTAAAATATGTATAACATAACATTTATATTTTTGATCATTTTTTAAAATTTATTGATTTGAGAGAGAGACAAACATTGATTTGTTGTTCCACTTATTTTTGCATCATTGGTTGCTTCTTATACGTGCTCTGACTGGATCAAACCCACAACTTGAGCATATTGGAGTGATACTCTAACCAACTGAGCTACCCTACAGTTTTGATCATTTTAAAGTGTACAATTAAGTGACATATAGTACTTTTCAGAATGTTATGCCACTATCACCATTATCTCATTTTAAAACATTTTCTTTACCCCACACCCATAAACACTCAATTCCTATTCACCCTCTCCCCTCAGCCCCTACCTTCCGACCCCAGTCCCTGGCTACCACTAATCTGCTTTCTGTCTCTATGAATTTGCCCTTTCTGGATGTTTTATATAAATTGAATCACACATAAACTTTTTGTAGCTGACTTATTTCACATAACGGTGTTTTCAAGATTTATACATGTTGTAATATGTATCAGTTCTTCATTCCTTCTTATAGCCAAATAATACTCTATAATATAGATAGACCATATTTTGTTTATCTGTTTATCAGCTGATTGACGTATTGGCATTTAGGCTGTTTCTCCTTTTTGCCTATTATAAATAATGATGCTATAAATAGCATTATTGAATTTTTATGTGATTGTTAGTTTTCACATGGAGTTATGTTTTTATTGCTCTTGGAGATACTAGTACTAGTGGCCCGGTGCACAAAATTCGTGGGCCTGCACCCTCTCCAATCTGGGACCCCTATCGCAATCCAGGACTGCTGGCTCCTAACCGCTCATCTGCCTGCCTGCCTGATTGCCCCTAACCACTCTGCATGCTGGCCAGCTCGCCTCCAACTGCTCCCTCCCCCGGCCTGCTCACCCCCAACTGCCCCTCTCCCCCCCACCAGCCTGATCACCCAAAACTTCCCTCCCCTCTTGGCCCCTAACCGCCTCTGCCTTGGCCCTGCCACCATGGCTTTGTCCAGAAGAACATCTGGAAGGTCTCCCAGTCTAATTAGCATATTGCCCTTTTATTAGTATAGATAAAGGCCTGGTGCACAGGTTGGGGGCCGGCTGGTTTGCCCTGAAGGGTGTCCCGGATCAGGGTGGGGGTTCCCTTGGGGGGGCAGGACAGCCTGGGCAAGGGGCCTATTGTGGTTTGCAGGCCGGCCACGCCCCCCAGCGGGGACCCTCACCCCATGGAGGCATGGCCAGCCTGGGTAAGGGGCTGAGGGCTGTTTGCAGGCCCCTCCCTTGACCGCCGGCCCAGGCGACGGTGACCCAAGCCTCCCGCACGCCTGGGCTGGCTCTGTGTCCCTCCTTCAGCGGCCGGTGGCCACCCAAGCCTTCCGCGCACCTGCCTGGACAGCTCCGTATCCTCCACTCACTGGCCCCTCCTTTGGTGGCCAGACGGGCTCCGTGTCCACAGGCCCCTCTTTGGCGGCCAGCCTGGGCAAGCAGGAAGCTTAGCTTCCTCCATTACCAGGGGCAACCCAAGCCTCCCGCTCGCTCTGGCTGGCTCTGTGGCTGCCGCTATCTTTGTCCCGCTAATTTGCATACTCCTGATTTGGCTGGTGGGCATTGTGAAGGTACAGTCAATTTACATCTTTCTCTTTTATTAGTGTAGGTACCTAGGAATGACATTGCTGGGTCAGATGGTAGCGCTATGTTTAAATTTTTGAGGAACTGTCGGACTGTTTTCCAAAATGGCCACACCATTTCATATTTCCACCAGAAATATAAAAGGTTCTAATTTCTCCATATCCTCACCTACACTTACTTATTGATTGATTGATTTTTAAAAAGAAAGAGATTGATTTCTTGTCCCGCTTATTTATACCCGCATTGGTTGATTCTTGTATGTGCCCTGACCGAGGATTGAACCTGCAACCTTGGCATATTGGGACAACGCTCAAACCAACTGGGCCAGGGTTCACCAACACTTTTCAAATAGCCTTTTGTGTCTAAACAATTCAGTGGTGGTGGAGTGATAAAAGTTGTTGTGGTTTTGATTTGCATTTCGCTGATGTCTGATGATGTTGAGCATCTTATTGGCTATTTACAGACCTGTTTTGGGAAAATGTTCAGAGCCTTGCCTGGTTTTGAGTTGGATCCTTTCTTTTACTGAGTTGTAAGAGTCCTTGGTGCATTATTAGATATAAGTCCATTATCAGATATATGATTATCACATATTTTCTACCATTCTTTGCTTTGTCTTTTTTAATTCCTGATGGTATCCTTTGCAGCACAAAAGTTTTCAGTTTTGGTTATGTCCAGTTTATTTGCTTTTTCTTTTGTTGCTTGTGCTGTTGGTGTCATATATAAGAAACCGTTGCCTAATCCAAATTATGGTTTACACCTATGTTTTCTAGAGTTTCATACTTCTAGCTCTTACATTTTGGTGTGAGGTAGGGATTCAACTTCTTTCTTTTGCACGCGGATATCCAGTTTTCCCAGCACCATTTCTTGAAGATACTGCTTCCTTTTGTCTTTGGCATTCTGGTCCAAAAAAATCAGTTGATCATAAATGTGAGGGTTTATTTCTGGACTTCATTAGTCTACATGTTTATCTTCTTTTTCTTTAAAAAAACGAATTTAAAGAGAATATTTATAAAAGTAGGCATTTGTGGCCCATTGTTTTATAATATATTCATGGTTTCCTTTGTTTTATCTCAGTAGCTTCTCCCACTTCCTTCTACAGTTGTCTCATGTCATGTGCAATGCCACCTGGGAAGGGAGTCCTGGTGGTCAGGTGCCTGTCATTGGGATGGTAATGTTCCTGCTTTTCAAAGACGGCTTTGAACACAGATAGGACGCGTTGGCAGTGATGGCATAAAATCATGAAAATAAAACAAGGAAGCTTTTGGCCCAAAGATTTTACCTTCTTTAGAGATGCAGTATCATGAAAGTATGTTAAACTAATGGCTATGACTTTTTCTTTGAGAAAGTAAACATTTCAGACCCATCAAAAGTTATTCTTTATGATTAAACTTTCCAGAGTTCCTGAGTTGGAGGTAGAAGAAGAAACTCAAGTTCAAGAGATGACCCTAGATGAGTGGAAAACTCTACAAGAACAGACCAGACCGAAGCCTGAATTTAACATCCGGAAACCTGAGTCCACGGTCCCTTCCAAAGCGGTGGTGATACACAAGTCCCGATATAGAGATGATGTAAGCATGACGTGCTGTGTCTGGAGCTAATCTCTCCCGATACCTTATTGGAAACGAGATGGGCCTTTCCACTTCTATTTTGAAAATGGAACATTGGCAGTTGATATTCTAGTTTCTACGTAAGAGTAATTGAGATGATGTGTGACTAATTTTACTGTATCTTTATTGTGAAATAATTGAATCTTGACCAGTTGACCCTTCATACAAAGTAGTAATAGTGACAGTGAATTTTCTGCTCACCCAGAACTCTGCTGAGACTGTGCAAATACTATATGTTAATTGTACTTCATTTTTGTATCAAGAGAGGTACAGAATGTTTCTGAATGATGTCATTTCAAAGGATGACTACTCTGCGTTAACATGATTGGATTACTCTCACCTCTAATTCTTAAAGCACTTAATTGGGAGGGTTGATCATTTGAAACCGGTTGGGGTGCTCTGCCCGGTGACGCCTTTCTATGTTATTGCAGCAGCTTTGCTCCCTTGCGTAACTGCTGAAACTCAGCCGAGGAGCCCAAAGAGCCTGGCAGCCTGCTGTCCAGTCGGGGCTGGTCACAGCGCCTCTCCTGTGAGGGCCTTACTGTTCTGGTTTATGTTCAGCTCTGTATCGGAGGCCTCCACTTTGAAAATATATTGACAAGGATGGTCAGTCTTTTTTTTTTTTAAAAATGTACTTTTATTTATTTCAGAGAGAAAGGGAGAGGGGGAGAGGGACAGAAACATCACTGATCAGAGAGAATCACTGATCGGCTGTCTCCTGCACGCCCCGTACTGAGGATCCAGTCGTAACCCCAGCATGTGCCCTGACTGGAAATCAAACTGTGACTCCCGGTTCGTAGGTTGACGTTCAACCCTGGCTGGGTTGTCAGAAAGTCTTTAATTACGTTTCTGCATAAGTTACTGAACTTAAGGGCACACTAAAGAATTCTCATTTTAAAATTTATAATTTGCATCACCGCCCCAGCTGCTTATCTTGATACCAGTCTCTTTGTCAGTGATGGTGATGAGCAAATCCTCTCTGCTGGATATTATTCATTTATTTTCTGTTTGAAACTCAGGGATTTTGTACCATGTAGAATTGTCTGGTTCCCATTTACACTTTGTTTTCCTGTAATCCTCACCCAAGGATATTTTTTCCATTGACTTTTTTTTTAGAGAGAGTGGAAGGGAGGGAGGGATGGTGGAAGGAGGGAAGAGAGAGAGAGAGAGAGAGAGAGGGAGAGGGAGAGAGAGAGAAACATCGATATGAGAGAGACACATCGATTGATTGCCTCCTGGATGCACCCTATGAGCTGGGTATTGAACCTGCAACCCAGATATGTGACCTTGACTGGGAATCAAACCCTAGCCAGGGGTGGGCAAACTTTTTGACTCAAGGGCCACAATGGGTTCTTAAACTGGACCGGAGGGCCGGAACAAAAGCATGATGGAGTGTTTGTGTGAACTAATACATGTTAACACTGCTGCTGGTGAAGGAGCGAAGGGGAGAGCGAGAGAACCCTCCGCTCCTTCGGTTCCGCAGGCTGTAGTCTGCCCACGGCTGCCCTAGACCCTTCGGGGTGTGGGCGGATGCTCTGACCACTGACTCACACCCATACAGCTAATTTACACTTCGGTTAGTTGTATTCTTTGAACGAATACTTTCACTAAAGTGTCCTTTATGATACAGAATCCCCTCCCACCCTCCTGTTTGGGTACTCCGGGCTCTTAGGGGCCTTGAATAGTAAGTTCTGAGCTATCCACTACAAGTGACTTTTTCTACAAATGGAAATCTCTGAGAGGTTTTTTCCTTTTTTAACAAGTTCGTCAGCTGGGTTGGTTCTTTTCCTCTCCGCTCCTGTTGTTCTTTTTGTTCTGGGGAATTGTAAATATAGCCTTGCCTAAAACAAATGTGCTGTCAGGGTGACATGTGCAGCTGACACGTTAGCTGCTCTCCGAAATCCTCACCAGATTCTCCTCTGGCTTCGGCTCCACAGAGAAGGCTCCTGGAATATTTGAAGCAGCTGGCTGAGCTGAGACACCGAGCTCGGTCTCAGGAAAGTACACATCTTTGTTAATCTTATGGCCTTGGAGGTTTTAGCCGGAAATTATTCTTAAAGCAACATAAGCCTTTGTTCTGGGCATCCTAAGAGACAAAAGCACGAGGATAATACCTCTCATTCTCTTGGAGCTCTGCTTTTTGCAAAGGTCAGACCTAATACTAGTCTGCAAATGGAGCTGGGCCCTCACCGTGCTGTGGCTTCTGACCTTTAGCTCACTGAGCATCCATTCTACATTGTCCCTTGCTGGGGCAGGGCCACCTGTCCCCTGCTGCACCATTCAGCTGTTTTCTAAACCAGGAGGCAGCTGTGTATTATTTTGTCTCTTACTGTTTTGTGTTGTTGTTTTTAAAAAATGTTTATTATTTTTATTTTTAAAAGCTTTATTGTTGAAAGTATTACAGATGACACTTTTTTCCCCATTGACCCTATCTAGCCCACACCCGCCCCCTGCTCCAGGCCTTCACCACACTTTTGTCTGTGTCCATGGGTTATGCATATATGTGTACAAGTTCTTTCATTGATTGATCTCTTCTGACCCACCCACCCTCCTCTTCCTTCCCTCTGAGATTCAGCAGTGTTCCATGCTTCTATGTCTCTGGATCTATTTTTTTTTTTAATTTAAATTCTTTGTTTAAAGGATGACATGTCTCCTTTTCCCCCCATTGACCTCTCCCCAGCCACTCCTGCCCCCCCCCTACTGTCCATTGGTTATGTTCATATGCATGCATAAAAGTCCTTTGGTTGATCTCTTCTGAACCTGTTTTGTTCATCAGTTTATTTTGTTCATTTGATTCCGCATAGGAGTGAGATCACATGATACTTGTCTTTCTCTGACTGACTTATTTCACTTAGCTTGATATTCTCCAGGTCCCTCCATGCTGTCTCAAAGGGTAAGAGAGCCTTCTTTTTCATAGCTGCACAGTACCCCATGGTGTAAATATACTACCGATTTTTTATCCACTCGTCTGCTGATGGGCACTTGGCTGTTTCCAGATCTTAGCTATTGTAAATTGTGCTGCTATGAACATAGGGGTGCTTGCATTCTTTCTGATTGGTGTTTCGGGTTTCTTAGGGTATATTCCTAGAAGTGGAATCACTGGGTCAAATGGCAGTTCCATATTTAATTTTTTGAGGAAACTCCATACTGTTTTCCATAATGGCTGCACCAGTCTGCATTCCCACCAGCAGTACTAGGGTTCCTTTTTCTCCACATCCTCACCAGCACTTGCCACTTGTTGATTTGTTGATGGTAGCTATTCTCACAGGTGTGAGGTGATACCTCATTGTCGTTTTAATTTGCATTTCTTTGATAATCAGTGACTTTGAGGATGTTTTCATATGTCTCTTGGCTGTCTGTATGTCCACTTTGGAGAAGTGTTTGTTTAGGTCCTTTGCCCTTTTTTAAAATTGGATTGTTTGTCTTCATTTTGTTAAGTTGTATGAGTTCCTTAAATATTTTGGATATTAACCCTTTATCAAATGTATCATTGCCAAGTATGTTCTCCCATACAGTGGGCTCCTCTGTCATTTTGTTGATGGTTTCTTTTGCCGTGCAGAAGCTTTTTGTTTTGATGTAGTCCCATCTGTTTATTTTCTCCTTAGTTTCCCTTCTCTAGGAGATTTATCTATAAACATATTGCTATGAGAGATGTCTGAGATTTTGCTGCCTATGGTTTCTTCTGGGATTTTTATGGTTTCACAACTTAGATTTAAGTCTTTTATCCATTTTGAGTTTATTCTTGTGTATGGTGTAAGTTGGTGGTCATTTTTTTACATTTATCTGTCCGATTTTCCCAACACCATTTATTGAAGATACTGTCTTGATTCCATTGTATGCTCTTGCCTCTTTCGTCAGATATTAATTGAGTATAATGGCTTCACTTGATTTCTAGGTTCTCTGTTCTGTTCCATTGATCTATATGCCTGTTCTTGTGCCAGTACCAGGCTGTTTGATTATAGTGGCTTTGTAGTGTAACTTGATATCTGGTATTGTGATTCCTCCAACTTTGTTCTTCTTTCGCAAGATTGCTGCAGATATTTGGGGAATTTTTTGATTCCATGTAAATTTCTGGAGTATTTGTTCTAGATCTATAAAATATGCTATTAGTATTTTAATGGGGATTGCATTGACTAGAGAGCATTTGGTATTATGGACATTTTAATGATGTTGATTCTACCAATCCATGAACACGGTATATTCTTCCACTTGTTTATTTCTTCCTCTGTCTCTTTTTTCAGTGTCCTGTAGTTTCTGAGTGCACGTCTTTTACCTCCTTGGTTAGGTGAATTCATTATTGGTGTATAAAAATGCCATAGATTTCTGGATGTTAATTTTGTACCATGCTACATTGCTGAATTAATTTATTAAATCTAGTAGTTTTTTGGTGGAATTTTTAGGGTTTTCTGTGTACAATATCATGTCATCTGCAGATAATGAGAGTTTCACTTCCTCCATTCCAATTTGGATGCCTTTTATGTTGTCGTCTTGTCTGATTGCTGTGGTTAGGACTTCTAATACTATCCTATATAATAAAAGAGAAACATGCAAATTAGCCATCCCTCCGCTATGCTCAAGCCATGCCCACAAGCCACACCCACAAGCCAATCAGTGACTATGCAAATTAACCCAACAAAGATGGCAGTTAATTTGCATATGCAGGTGTCAGGCGCCCCAGGAGACAATGGCGGCCACGGCCACAGCCACAGGCTCCCGGTCGGGGAGGGGAGGCTGCCCGTGCCGAACCATGCCCATGGGCTCCCAGGACCTTTGCTGGCTCTGGGAGGCGAGGCCGTAGCCACATCCGTGGGCTCCTGGGACTTTTGCTGGTTTGGGAGCCAAGGCCGCCTGCACCTAGCCACACCCACGGGCTCCCAGGACCTTGCCGGCGGAGAGCAGAGCAGGAGAGGAGCGGGTAGAGAGCAGGAGGTTTGGAGGACTTGGCAGAGCAGGAGACCACTGGACATAGAGCAGAGCGAGAGAGAGAGAGGGTGGCTTGGAGGGTGCAGCTCCCTCTGTTACCCCAGCTTCCTCATCACAGCTGTGGAAACTGACAGCAGGAAGGAGGAAGTCCCACCCCCACAGAATCAGCCAGAATCAGCCATTGGTCAGACAGCTCTCAGCAGCCTGATAGCCAGGACTCTCTTTCACCTGCATCTCAGACCGTGACAATAGAGAGGTGGGACTATGTCTAAAGAACAACTGTTGATACAACATAGCTCTGCAACTGAAAGATGCCAGCATTATTGACAGAAAATGTCCCCAGAGCAGCGTGCTTCTGATCTTGAAAGAAGGTGGCACCTGTGACAGGATATATCTGAAAAGCAGCTACTGGAAAAACGTCGCTCTGATCCGGTGTTATTGACAGAAAATGTCTAAAGACCAACGTGCCTTTGAAGTTGAAAGAAGGTGGTGGCGATGACAGAATGTGTCTAGAGAACAGTCATCAACAAGTACTACCAATACTGGTAGGAACTGCCTTCTCAGTGAAAATGGAGTACATGAGGATGCAATCCTCGAACATAGTTGTGGTGGAATGACTGTTCGATGTGAATTTTGCCTATCACTAAATTTCTCTGATGAAAAACCATCTGATGGGAAATTTACTCGATGTTGTAGCAAAGGGAAAGTCTGTCCAAATGATATACATTTTCCAGAATACCCAGCATATTTAAAAAGATTAATGACAAACGAAGATTCTGACAGTAAAAATTTCATGGAAAATATTTGTTCCATAAATAGTTCTTTTGCTTTTGCTTCCATGGGTGCAAATATTGCATCACCATCAGGATGTGGCCATACTGTTTTAGAATACACGGACAAGTTTATCACCAAACTGGAACTTTACATCCTTTGATGGTGTTTCTCGGAAGTTTGCTCAACTCTATATTTTGGATACAGCCGAAGCTACAAGTAAAAGATTAGCAATGCCAGAAAATCAGGGCTGCTTAGAAAGACTCATGATCAACATCAACAACCTCATGCATGAAATAAATGAGTTAACAAAATCGTACAAGATGCTACATGAGGTAGAAAAGGAAGCCCAATCTGAAGCAGCAGCAAAAGGTATTGCCCCCACAGAGGTAACAATGGCAATTAAATACGATTGCAACAGTGACCCAGGTAGATATAATTCTCCCGTGTAACTGAGGTTGCTGTCATATTCAGAAACGAAGATGGAGAACCTCCTTTTCAAAGGGACTTGCTCATTCATTGTAAACCAGTTCCCAATAATCCAAGTGCCACTAAAATGAAACAAATCAATATCCTGTTTCCTACATTAGATGCAATGACATATCCTATTCTTTTTCCACATGGTGGAAAAGGCTGGGGAACAGATATTGCATTAAGACTCAGAGACAACAGTGTAATCGACAATAATATTAGACAAAATGTAAGGACACAAGTCACACAACTGCAGTATTATGGATTTCATCTCTTTGTGTGGGACACGTTCAATCCTATTTTAAATGCAGGAAAATTAACTCAACAGTTTATCGTGGATTCGTATTAAAAAATGGAGACCAATCGGATAAATTTCATCAAAGCAAACCAATCTAAGTTGAGAGTTGAAAAATATAGTGGTTTGATGGATTATCTCAAATCTAGATCTGAAAAGAACAATGTGCCTATTGGTAAAGTGATAATACTTCCATCATCTTCTGAGGGTAGTCCCAGAAATATGCAGCAGCGATATCAGGATGCTTTGACAATTGTAATGAAGTATGCAAGCCCGATTTTTTCATAACCATGACATGCAACCCCAAATGGGCAGATATTGCAAACAATTTACAACACTGGCAAAAAGTTGAAAACAGACCTGACTTGGTAGCCAGAGTTGTTAATATTAAGCTGAATGCTCTTTTAAATGATATCTGTAAAGTCCATTTATTTGGCAAAGTAATAGCCAAAATTCATGTCATTGAATTTCAGAAATGCGGACTGCCTCACGCTCACATATTATTGATATTAGATAGTGAGTCCAAATTATGTTCCT